GGTGGGTAGCCCCACTGCAAGGGTTAAGATTTGATTCACCTGAAGTTCTGCTTTAAGGCATCAGTTCATCGAAAACTGAAATATTAGCAATGAGCGGATGCCTGCTGGTCGCAATACATGTTGACTTTATGTACGTCTTAAACATCATAAAGATGTTTGCTCTTCAGTTCCCAACTCAACCCTCCTGCTGTGGCCCCGTGTTCTCTGTTGGATTGGTCATTAATTGTACACGGAGGGGAATGCAGCAGGATGAGTGAGACAACAAACTGAAGAGCGGTGCAAGGAACTCTGAAGGCGAGAGCGTCCATCCTAGGATAACCAGTGGGAAGTGTTAAGCACTTCCAAAATTCGAGAGCATGTGGCTATGTCCGGATCGATCCGCCCCCCCCCCCCCCCCCCACCCAAAAGTAATTTTTTTGGAAAATATCAGCTGATCTGTGACTGCAGCCAATCAGCTGCGGTCACTGTGCAGATGTTCTGACAGCAGCACACCCGCCACTGTCAAAGTACAATGGAACGGAAGGGAGGATTTCCCCATGACATGGTGTATGTCCAGCCTTAGTATAGAAGAGGGGGGGTTACTGCTGAGTGCTAATAGTAAGAACAGCCCTGTATATACCAGTTTATGGAAGGGACTGGACTTGGGTAGAGTGGCTCTTTAAATCAGCATGCATGTGCTCCGTACCAGCCTGTCTTGTGTTGGTGTACACTGGGGTCTGGTGTTCCTCTCCTCTAGTGGTAGCCATGGTCTGTCCGTGTCCAGCAACTCCTGGGTTACACGCTCAGCACTCTGGTCACGTAACCAGAGAGAGATGTGCGGTGACAGCCATAGAACTGGGTGGTCTCCCTCCTTTCCGCTGATCCGTGTTTGATCAGGAAAAGAACAATCTGATAAAATCCACCCCCTGCCCCTTCTCCTGGGTCGATAAACACCTCTCATCTTCACTAACAAGCAGTGAAAGGCAAACTGTGTCACACTGCCACCCGCTGACCACATTGGGAACTTCCCAGCGATAATGGATAAAAGCCTCTGCACACTGTGTATCCCACTCTCTAAAGGTGATTGCTAAAATCTCATATAAGCTTCAACATGCAAATGTTGTTGAATCTGCAGCTTTCATTATAATAATACCTGGCGTTCCTGCGATGAAGGTCCTTGTTCCGTCGCTTCCTGTTCTAAGGTGACAACGCTCTGTCCCTGTCTCCTAATTGTGCTCTCGCAGTGTCACCCTGTCATACAATGCAGATTAAACACAGCTGTTTCAAAACCCCCTAGGCAGGTATAGTCCACTGTTGCCACCATCAGGAATCCCACGCTGAGAAATGCCATGCAGCCTTCGCTGGAGGACATGAGGATAGGAAGTGGCTGGATAGAGGCTGCAGGGGATTAGCAGCACTGAGAGGCAACAAAGGATTAAAAAAAGTGAAAGAATTATTCTAATAAAGCAATGGGAATTGTTTATGCTATACAGCGCTTTAGTGAACTAGATGCCATTCAGAAAGGGCTTGCATTTACTTTAAAGCCAATGAATTTAAAGCCTAACTGAACTTTCAGTGGTGGTGCACGCTACCTGGGGGAACCTGATGCCAGCCAGAGCGTCCTGCTCAACTCCCAGGAGCCAGTGACTAGGGATGCCCCTAAGAGGAGGAAAGGGTTAAAGACCAACTGAACTTTCAGTGGTGGTGCACGCTACCTGGGGGAAAAGGATGCCAGTCAGATGCGTCCTGCTCAACTCCCAGGAGCCAGTGACTAGGAATGCCCCTGAGAGGAGGGAAGGGTTAAAGACCAACTAAACTTTCAGTGGTGGTGCACGCTACCTGGGGGAACAGGATGCCAACCAGAGCGTCCTGCTCAGCTCCTGGCAATCAGGGACATCACTGGTTTCCAGGAGCTGAGCAGGGCGCTGGCTAGAGCGTCCCAGGTTGCTAAGAGCTGGACAGGCAGATGTGCATGTCCCTTACACATCTCCCCACCCGGCTCTTAGCAACCTGGGACGCTGTAGACAGAAAGAGGGAGGCAGGCATACTGCAAGCATTCTGCAGCAGAGCAGCCATGTTGCTTTGCCTGCTGCCCCCCACTTGACCCAAAGAGTTGCTGCTTAAAGCAACTGCCTCATTATAAGGACGGCCCTGCCTACTGTATCCAATACAAATTGGCTGTAAGTACACTTTTACATGTATTCTGCATTGTATGTGGACATATGTATGTTTGTGGATAAAGTATTTTCCAGATTGGCATAGGCGACATTGGCACTCTAATTGTTGTGGCACTACAAGTCCCATGAGACACTACAAGACTCTGACAGCCACAGACATAACATCTACCCCAGATCTAAAAGGATATGTGTGGTTATAAGAGTGACTGATTGTCTCTGAGAATAAATGAAATCTGAGCTACAGCATGGCATAAGGGAAGAAGACTGTTCTATACATATATGGAAATGTAAGAAGTACGTCCTAAGAGCACAGCTTATAATACAAGGCCGGTTTACCTAATGATTTTATTGTCTTAATCCTTGAACCAGAGGTTAAATACAGTCCACTTTCCAGAATTCCTCTTTTAAAATCAAAATTAGCCAAAATAAAATGCCTTAACAATCCTGGCTATATTTTTAAAAATCCATAAAAATGACTTGCGGTTCTGTTAGTTAAAAAATAAGCTACATATTGATCCGTGGAAGACTCATGAATACCAGAGTTTACCTTTTTTTTCTGGGTCCTATAAAATGTAAACCTTGTTTCGGCTTCGATATGAAGTGATGGGAGACTGAGGGGCTGATGGTTTTCACCAGACATCCAGCAGGGGGAGCTATAAAGCGTTGGACGCTGGGTTAGGTCTAGGAAATAAGCACAAAGAGGGGCGCCTTTCCTGGTGCAGATCACTTTTATTTCAATAAACATAAATAGAAAACTGACAAGCAGTGAGATGTCCACTAGGTGATACCAGTATAGTGGTGACGTTAACGCGTTTCCGGGGCACGCCCCCTTCATCAGAACATAGCGTCACCCTTCCTCTCTCCAACTTAAAAAGTATGAGTGGCCAATCAGAGGCGAGCGATAAGCGCTTGTCACAGTGTAGATTCAGTTGCAGCCGTGGCTTTGTCCGTCTCGGGCACCGTGCTTGGGAAGGAGTGCCGCGATCAGCCAATGGGGACCCGGAGCAGCTCGGGCTCCACCCACTGGGTGTCGCCAGTGCTTCAGCCAATCACGGCCTCCGAAAACCGGACTTGCTAATGCATATGAGGACAACAGCGTGTCAGTTGTCAGCATGTGCTGAAGTACTATGAGAACTAAGTCTCCTATACGTGATGGATAGAGGAAAAGGGGGCGTGCCACGGAAACGCGTTAACGTCACCACTATACTGGTATCACCTAGTGGACATCTCACTGCTTGTCAGTCCTCACCTCATGACTTTGTGACACTCATGTTTGTGAGTATGATTCGGTTTTCTATTTATGTTTATTGAAATAAAAGTGATCTGCACCAGGAAAGGCGCCCCTCTTGTGCTTATTTCCTAGATTTCCAGCTTTCCCGGCTTCTTTGGGGCAGCATCCTGCAGTATGCCTAACAGCAATTCCCATTAAGGACTGACAGTCCGTGGCGCTTCACTGTTTTTACTTTGTTGCTGGGTTAGGTCTACCTGAGCTGCACACATTCAAGTGGTAAACTTTCTCGCCTTCCAACGCATTTTGGGTTATCTGGGAATACATTGTTAAAAGCAGTTAAAATCCTTTTCAAGGCATGTACAAAGAAAAAAAAAATGGTCACAGTCATTAGGTCACACTTCCTTTGACTTGGCTCCCTACTGCCATAATCGCCGGGCTAGGTGCCACAATAAAGCCACAAGCCCAGCAGCCATGGCCACTGCGGCGATTCGAGTCGGGAGGTAGTCCAAGGAGGACTCCAGTTTCGCGTGGAGTTGTAGAACTTGTCGCCTCGTGCTGTCTCTGTCTCCGGAGTTGTCGATGACGTGGTCAGCAAGTGGAAGTTTGCTGTCAATTGGTAGCTGGGCTGCTAAACGGTTCTGGACCTCCTCCCTTGACAAGCCGCTCCTCCGAATCAGACGCTCCACTTGCGTCTGGGGGTCACTGCGAAACAGGGACAATAAAGCTTTGCTCAAAAAGTGCATGGATTTGGTGGTGTTATTTTTAAATTCATATCATTATGCCCAGGGGTGGTGTCACCCGGAGCGGTCGCCAGGTGACACCCCGCTGGGATGTCATCATGGATGCGTGTGAGGTCATCACGAATGCACGTAATGACGCCACGCGTGCTTACCTGCCGGGGCCATCTTGGTGATAGATGCCAACAAAGAGAGGAGGGGACCCCGGCTCCTCTCTCGTTCAACTATTGGGCTCTCGGTCCATGACTGAGTGCCCGACTTTTCAGCAAAATGACTGTCAGTCATTTCGGTGTCACCCCCTCTGATGGTGTCACCCGGTGCAGGCCGCACTCCCCTCGCGACGTCACTGATCATGCCCGTTCCTCCCCAGCCCTTTAGTTCATTGGATTTCAGTTGCTTTACTCATGGAGGCTTGGCATCACACATGGGACATGTTTAGGGTGGTCTGCAGGCAAATGCAATTTGCCTAAGAATGCCTGCTCCTAAGACTTACCTGACATCCACCCATCAAGGCATTTTGATATTTGCATAACTCCTCCCAAGAGCCAGCCCACTGCTTGAATAAGGTCTGAGGGCTCTTGAGAGGCAGGGTGCTGTGATGCGACTTGCATTAGACATGAGGACACCGAAAGACATTCCGCAACCGGAGTGGAGGATGAGAGAGGTGAGCGCCGACCGCAGTGGGCCTGAGGATCAGGTGAGTAATGCAGCTTTATTTGAGCCTCCTAGACAAACAAACTCTTAACCCTTGCAGTGCTGGGGTAGCCCCACTGCAAGAGTAAGTTTTTAAAATTCCCGGAGTTCTTCTTTAAACTTCTTTAGATAGAACAGGAAGGAATGTGAAAGAAAAAAAGTATGATGTTTATTCTGGTACACAAGGCCCGCGCCTCCTGACCTCACGGGTCTTGTCAAAGCTGCTTTGTCTGCAGTTACACCCCAGGTCGGCCCCGGCGTGACTCCTGTCCATCGAAACATTTGATTTGTTAGTTAGAAAAGAAAAACACTCTAATAAGCCAAACTAGATTGAAATTGCTCTCGGCTGAAGTGGAATTTGTTAGGAATAATAATTGGTTCTGATTCTTCAGACTTCTCCGTCCACAGACTCTTAATGAGCTGCTTTATCCTGACAGATCAATGCTCTCACTTCCCCTTTATATCTATTGTGACCGCTCATCTGTTAAGATGTGGACATGGATCTGGCCTGGAACATGTACACACTGCACTCAAAGTGGAAGCCCATCCGAACCTGACAACTCGGTGTTGGGTAGTCACTGGCACTTTAATCATCTGCTGCCTCATTTTGGGAGCCCCAGGAGGCTAATCATCTGCTGCCTTCTTTTAGGGGCCCAATGAGACCAGTATGTACTAAGAACCATGTGACAGCATCAAGATACATGTACTAACGGCTCCCACTAGTTCTCAACCTGTGTAACCTCAGGACACACATTTGTCCAGGGTCATTAGGTTGCACCGCACTGAAATGCATAGCATTGCGGTACCACGCGTTCGGGTGATTGAACTGTGGGCATGAGGTGTGTTTGGGGTGTCATCGCAATGCACCTTTCCACACCAGAACGTGCAGTAGGTGCTATTGTGTGGTACAGTACACTAATTGCATGGGACTGTGTGATTAGATCTGTGAAGGTTCTTATTCATCCAGGTCATGGTATAGCTGTAAAAAATAAGTCAAGGCAACTGGACTTGCTGTATTTTTCTTGAAGACGTCTCACTGGACATCCGACCAGCTTTCTCAATTCAGAATCCATTCTGAATTGAGAAAGCTGGTTGGATGACCAGTGAAACGTCTTAGGGTGTGTGATTAGGGATGTCAAATTCCCGGTTTCACCTGGACAGTCCGGGTTTTGAGTCCTATATGTGCTGTGTCTGGGTTTCAGCTGGCCTGAAACCCGGACTGTCCAAGTGAATCCGTGACAGGTGGCAACCCTATGTGTGATTAACGCACTGTACTAGTGTGAACGGGTACAGACACACAAAACCACATACACATTCTCACACACACATACACACTCCAAAAAAAATGAATTTCCCGGTGGATCCTCAGCCTGTGGTCCAGTGTGGACTACAATCTCAATTTAGTTTACTCATTTGTAATGAGATTGTAGTCCATCGCGGGAGTGAGCTTGGAGCGGTGGCTGCTTTACAAGACACACAGGGACCAGGGGTAACAAAAGTAGCCCCCCTCCAGAAGGAAGGACAGTGTCAGCACCAATTCAGAGATGATTTGAGGATCTACAGCCGAGTGATAGAAAAATAAGATACATTTTTTGTTAACAATTAAAGTAGGCGAATGCATTTTTAAGATATAACTCCTGAGTTTAGTGTCACTTTACAAATGTGTAACTTTAATATCACTTTAAATCTTAGCCTTCCCCTGCTGTCCTTACAGGATATAGCCAATTCCCTTTTTATACCCTTCTACCTATTCTTAAATCACATAATTGTACGGCCAGAAATACATTTGAATCAAATGAATGTTTTGATCTCTCACCTCACATCCTATACTCTTATTTTCTAAATTGTTTTTAAAGCAAACAACAGAACGATCCTAGCACTCATCAGTCGAAGCGAAATATTGGAACGTGGAGGTAAACGCAACAGATAAAATCTTGTGTAATGGAAAGCTTGCCATTCCTCGGGGCAGACAATCAATTAAGGTAATTAATGTATCTTATTCTAACCAGTGATCTGCACCAGACCTTGTTTTCTGTGTGTGATTAATGGATCCAGCGAGAGGCGAGCACAAGCTTCTTCTTCTGCTCCCACTACACTGCCAATAATGTTATTAAATCAGACCTATGGATAAAAATGAGCTCTGATTCATTTCAACAGTCTAGCTGCATTGAGTAAGACTAAGATAGCTGAAAATCTAAAAATAAAATAAAAACTTGTTAAGAACAAAACATGTTTCTGGGCTTCCTTATACTGGTCGATCGAAAGATCAATGCTGAGATACTGGACGTGTGATCCTAGGAACATTTGGAAACTGGCGCTCAGGCAGAGCGGGCCAGTCAGTGTCCCTATTTCAACATGAGGCCAGGCAAAGGTTACCTTGGAATTGGTCACATGACAAGTCAGCAAAAAATTCCCAAAGTGTTTAGAATAGATATGATTTTAACACTTGGGGGCTGATATTGGGGGTATAAACATTCCTGCCAGGGTACAGCTGGGCAAATGCTGTTTGCAGGGCTGCCCTAAAATGTAGGCTTTGCTGCACAATATTTGCAGTGTGCCTCCCGCCCCCTTTCTGGCCAGGGCTTCCCAGGTTGCTAAGAGCCGGGTGGGGAGAGGTGTAAGGGCCATAAACTTCTCCCCACCCAACTCTTAGCAACCTGGGATTCTCTAGCCAGTGTCTTGCCCATTTCCTGGCAACCAGTGATGTCACTGTTTGCCAGGAGATGGGCAGGCCTCCGGCCAGAGCAACCAGTAATGTCACTGGATGGGACGCCAGCCAGAGCAGGAGCTAGAGCTGAGCAGGGAGATTATGCAGAGGCCCTCCCCCCCAGGTGGCGTTCACCACCAGCACAACCCCCCCAAACCCTCAACAATCCAAGTAGGCAAAAAGGCTAGGGATGCCCCTGGCTGTTCAAACACATTCCTGCCACTAGATGGAGTCAAGGAGCATAGGAATTTCCTATGCTGATCAACTCCATCTAGTGGCTGGAATGCTGTGCAAATGAAATGTTTATACCTCAGACCCTATGAACTATCATCGCCTTATCCGATTCAGCTCAACTGTTCAAATTAATCTTATTAAGATAATTCTGAACTCTTAGCTATGTAAACCTACCACCAACCTACATTAAAAAAATAAAATAAAATGTAAAAGCATGTAGAAAAGCATGGTAGATAATGCAAGAGTAGAAAAGAGCAACAGAAATCAGAGAGTAGCAGCAAAGAACACATGGGGGTCAGGGGGAGGCAGCACTGAAAACAACGGGAAGTACCACAGCGCCCCCTATTGAGGTGTTCAGATGCTCAAAAGCCGCCTGTCAAAGGAGGCAAAAATTACCGGGGGGTTGGAGGGTTGGGGAAAGACGGGTGGCGGGTTACTTGTAAATGCCCGAAGTTCTGCTTTAACAACACTGAAATACAAAATGGCTTGCATACCAATTATATATGATATAACATTGTTTAAGCAAAAGTGGACTTTTCCCTTTATGAACCCCTGCACCCCCACCCGTGATCTCTTACCAGTAAACAAGTACAGTGAGCTTCATATAACGCATCAGGGTCCTGGTTTCAAACAACAATGGGATGTCAAGGATCACATATCGATAGCCTACGGTGTAGGGAGAAAATGATTACCAATCATACAGTTACACTGATCTTTTATATGGAGAGAAAAAAATCCCCACCAGTTACACTTCAGCTGGCATTTTGCGAGGGCAGCATACAGATGCGCCCCATTAAGAGAGACAGCCCCCCTTGCAGATTCTAATCCCTCTGTCGTTTTGTCCACAGCTGCCCCCCTTTAGGTGCAATATTGAAGGTCTGCATAAATAAATGTACTAAACTATTTTTTTTTAAACGTGATGACATGTAATCAGCGCTCAATGCAGTATTACTCTGATCCCAGGCTGTATAATGATACCACCTCAGTGAGCGGGTCCATGACAGCCCAGGCTCAAAGGGAATAAGTTGAATGATACTGACTGAGGACATCTAGTGGTGGAAAAGAAGTACAGCTCAGGACTGAAGGGGGAGGCAAGTTATGGGCACTGTGTATTTTTCCATCATTTATTCAAAAAACACTAATTTAATGTGACTTCAATTAAAGGGTCACCTTACACCCTGAAACTGCATTAAAGCCCATCTCTGAGCAATCAAAAAAACTATCCAGTGCAGTGCTAACTATGCAGTGGATCTACCCTAGTTCATGCCTTGGGGACTGGACCAAAACACATTTACTTACCTGATCCCTACTCCCTCAGCGGTCAGCATTCTCCTCTCGCCCCTCCACTCCAGGTCATAGACTGTCCCCTGACATCCTCGCCTCTAATGCAGGTCTTTGGAACCTGCATTAGATACCATGACGTTAGCGATACTTAGATGGCCAGAGCAAAGGGGAGAAGAGGCTGCCGGGACCAGTCCAGCAGCTTGTAGGAAGCCAGCAGGAACAGGGATCAGGTTAGGGATCAGGTTAGCAAAATAGCTTTTTCCTGTCCCTTAGGCATAAACGGGTAGTCCTACTGCAAGGATAGTTTTTTGGTTTACCCAGAGATAGGCTTTAAATGTAAAAATGCATGAATTATTCAGAAGAAGGAGTGGCAGGTTATGTTTCTCATGTCAGAGTCCTGATAGAATCCTGTGAGGTTAGAAGGACAGAGGGCCCCTAGGCTCTGTCACATATGGGGACATGCTCGGCTGCTTCTGATCAGTAATTACGATATATGCTAAGAGTACATTTAATTACTGATTGTTTTGTCACATTACACTGTATGAGTCCCTGTTAGACTCACCAGACATGCTACAATCTGCTTGTACAATCTTCTTTCGATCTACTGCAACAACCATGCAGTGTAAGAACCTGCTTGATTGGATGGACACTGACTGGATAGTATAAATTGGTCCTTACAGTACACAGTTTTGGTAAATCTAAAGTTGCTTGTACAGAGATTGTACAGTCAGATTATGCCCATTGTTCATCCCCACCCACTTTCATCTCGATTCACTGTTATTCCCTGGACAATCCCACTCCGCAAAGTCTGCGCCAGTTAGTTGCGCTCCTTCCCTTCCTTTCTTTCCGCTCAGTATCACAGTTAGATACCCCGGTCTAATAACACAAGGAGCCGCACAACGACCACGACACCCCCCCCTCCTAGGAGTGCGCTAACTAATCAGTCTTCATTTTCCAACTTTTTGTTAGGGACGATGGCAGTTTACAGGCAAGAGCAGTTAATACAGATTCAGTAGTTCTGAAAATCCGATAAAGCGGTCTATTTTCTGGCATGTCTTTCTTTATATGATGTACAAAACTCCACCATTCAAATCAAGGGGCCCCCGGTGACCCCCTTCTTCTTTTATACCGGGCTCAGAACAGAACACGACGTCCTCATCTTTCAGAAATATCTACATTTGAAAAGGTTTCTCTTTTTTCCCCCCCGTTTTATAATCTCCCGTATATGTTCTATCCCTCTTTACAGTCACTGTGCAAAGCGCGCCGTCTCATAATGGAGGCTCTCTTATCAGCTCGGGCTGAAATCCCGCTCCTATAGTAGGCCTCCAGATCTGCAGGGAGCAGGAGAAAGATTCTGCTGCGCTTTGTTCAGAAACAGATGCTATCAAATCCAGAAGAGAACGTGGGACGAATTGTCGCCTGGTCCCTAATGGTAGAGTGACATTTGTCACCTTTTACATCAGAAGAGCTATTTATAGATGTTGTGTCTGCTGAGAGTGAAAGGTCTTGTGAAATAAATAAAGGCAAGTTTGACAAAGACACCAGGGGTGTTATCTGAAATCTCAGTCAAATCAAAGTAGATGTAAACCACTAACTGAGTGACATTTCATTTGCTAAAGCACTGGGTATCATAAACTATGGCAAGTTTTAAATAAAATACCTGTTTTCACATTACGTTATATTCTTTGTTGCATCTCATTGCTGCAGCCACTTTGCACCAACTTCCTGTCTACATGCACTCCAGTGATCACTGCATGGAGTTTCTTAGGGCAGCTTACCTGATGCAGTGACACCAGCAGACCAGGACTGCGTAATGTGCACTGAAACTGCCACTTGTAGTCTCTGTTGGAAGCCCATGTGACAGGGTGACAATGCGGGAGCACAATCAGGAGACCGGGACAGAGCGTTGTCACTCTGTAACAAAAAGTTCCTGTACAAGGCTGGATCACCAGGTATTATTTTAATGAAAGCTGCAGTCTAATCCCTGGGTAAGCACCATGTCGATTGTGTTGGAGCATATGCAGAATTCATGATTCTTCCTCACATGACAGTGTTCAGCCCTGGGATTGGCCGCTTAAGCTCAAGCGCTGAATCCAGAGAATAAGGTTACATGAGAGGTAAGGTTACATGCTCCTCTATACCTGGAAGTACTAGGTATTTCTTGCAGCTCTGGCCTTTATATCAGAGTGGAGGGTAGAGTATGGCAAAGAGGAATATCGGCATAGAAAGAGAACCTGTCACCTTGCCTTCAACTGATATTTCAATATAGCAAGAGAACCTGTCACTTTGCCTTCAATATAGCAAGAGAACCTGTCACCTTGCCTTCAACTGACATTTCAGCATAGCAAGAGAACCTGTCACTTTGCCTTCAAACAGTTCATTTCAAGCAGGCTATGCATGTTGCTGTCTGATTGTACAATCTGTATAGAATTGTCAGTAGATTTACCATAACTGCGTAGTGTGAGGGCTTACCTAACAAATTATTTTATCGAGCAGGCCTAGGTGCTGATAGATCTTCTGGAGACTGTACAATAAGATTGTGAATTGCATAGCCATTTTAAAGCTTTAATTTGCTTTAAAGAACAACTCTGGGTACAAATTTTATGAACCGTTGCAATGGGGCTACCTCTGCACTGCAAGGGTTCAATGCTCCTTTTTTTGACTAGGAAAAAAAAAAAAAAGGTTATATTCACCCGAACCTCCGAGCCGGCCAGCTGTGACTGCACTCCCCCCCTGCCTGTCTCCTCCTTGGCACCCTCACATCCTATACACTGGGTATAGGTTGTGATGACTCATGGACCCTAGAACGCTGCAGTAGAGGGGGAGAGAGGCTCCAGGGACTAGTCTAAGAGCAAGCCGGCTCTGTGGTTTTGGTGAGTATAGCTTTTTTATTCTGGACCTTAGGCAAAAAACAAGCCTTTAACCCTTGCAGTGCGGGGGTAGCCCCACTGCAAGGGTTAATACAATGTTTACCTGGAGTTCTGCTTTTATCTGAAAGATAAAAAACAAACGTGCGCCCTCACGTTTGTTTTTTTTGTTTCACAAGCACAGGTACTCCTCCTGTCTCCCAGGGCCGCAGGCTAGGTAGAGGTAGAGTTACATAATTCCCAGGGCCGCAGGCTAGGTAGAGTTACATAATTAATTTCCCCAGGTCCAATCCGAGAGCGCTGTCCGTGCTATCCTTGTGTGCTAAAAGAGAGAAATGACCAATCTTACCAGCTCATACATTAAATGAATGGCATGAAATTATTGCAAGTTCTGGGGCTCAGTCTCATCAGTTACAGAACCTGTGGATCGCTTGAGTTTTTTCTACCTAAAAGGATGAGTTGAAAACCCTGGAATGTATAAGGGTCATAAACAGATCAGAGACATTAGGCTCACCTAGGAAAAAGTGCCACAGTGTCTGCCTTAGCATTGCTCTACGTATGGGAGGGTGGGTGATGGAGTTGAGTAGAGCCCTCTTCTCAGGGCTGGAGAAGACAATGGTTCCCAGCTTCTCACGGTCCAACTCTCCACTTTTTAGCAAAACCTCTTCTCCAAAATGGTGCACAATCTGGCTGTAGGCTGGGGTCCCCAGCTGGACCACTGGAAGAGAAACACCAAGCAAAAGGCAACAATTTAAAATGGAATGATACAACTAAATGTCTTACCCACCCTCTAAAACAAACAATATATAAACAGTGCAATGCTGCTAAATCAACACAAAATAACCCCCATTAAATTATAAAACGAATCCACTAAATGATGGCTGTGCACATACAAACAGCACAATCAGCAATGAAAAGGAGTACAGTAGTTAAAGGAGAACTATGAGGTGAGTGATTTCCACTCACCTCATAGTTCTAGCCGACCTGTGACAATGAGACTGTCACAGGTCGGCTCAGTAGATCGGGAGGTGAGGGAACACATACCGGGTTCGCTCACCTCTTGATCCTGTCACGGCTCTCGGCCATGACAGGGGGAGGGGCTGGATTCCCCTCTCCGATCTGCCAGCGCTGACTGGCGGAACGGACGGGGGAGGGGGCGGGTACAGCTGGCTCTGCCTCTAGATAGGCAGAGCCAGGTGTCACTCACGCAGCTGGGCGGATCCCATCATCTACGTCGGGATCCGCTCCGGCTGCGGCGTCTCAGTATACCGCGAGCTGTAGCTTGCGGTATACTGAGCTTAGGGTAACGGGAGGACGCTAGTTTGTGTCCCCCCGTTACCCTAAGGAGAACTATGGGGAAAAACACTGACCCCATAGTTTTCCTTTAATGAGACACAGTCAGCTGACCATTCGAGGTAGAGTGACAGTGCCACCTGTTAGTATGCTTACCAATTCACACTCCCTCCCTACCAGAATCCACCCTGCGTCCGTTCGGTGTTGGAGCTTACCAGGGAGTGATGTCACTGCTCCTCCCCATGTGACGGTGTTCATGCCTGGCAAATGTCCGCCCAGACCTGAGCATGTGACCACAAGGACCACCTGCTCCCCCATACCCAGAAGCCCTGCTCCATCAGAGCAATAGAAAGATGGTTCCAACATAGCCAACAGGTATGAATAAGCCTGCAGATACTGTCACTTTGTCCTGAATGGGACACTAAGAACATAAAGCAGAACTACAACTTCCTATCCCTTACAGCCAAGGAAGGTGCCATCTTGGCCTCTATTTGGATTGCAGTTGCCATGGTGCTGCACATGTGATCAGCTAAGACACCAGACATTAGAGGGCTTGAAAGTTTGGTTGAGAACTAACATAAGCACACTGTCAACCTTGACAGTTGCAATAGCTTAAATAACTTACCCCTGCTGTAGGTTTACCCCTACATTGCAAGGAATAAGTGCTTGTTAAGGGCAGTTATGTTCACCTCTCTCCCCTCTTTGTGTGTGCGGGCATAGTCTAACTTGAAGGGTACGTTTTTTATTTGCCCGGAGTTCTTCTTTAAAAGTAACTCTTGGGAGGCATTAAATTGGTGGGTAAATATATTATGTCTTTGAAATTGTCTGTCGGCTGCACAGAATAGCTTTCCTAATCTATACGAGCACATTTCATTTCCATCAAGGACTGGTCATTATATACACACCTTGTCTGGCAATGGCATCTGCGTCTATCACAGCACAGCCCAGCTCTCGAAGGATTGTTACTACAGTGCTTTTACCCGATGCAATCCCCCCCGACAGGCCCACCAGGAACATTGCTGCAGAGAGAAGACATGACAAAACAATACAGGACAGAGGTTATTTAATGGTACATTGGAGGCAGAAATCACTAGTGACCCACAACAGACAATCAGATATAACCTCTCACTAGTCTGACCACACTAAATCCATGAAACCTGAAATCTATCCGGTTGGTGGCCATTCCACAGGGGCTGCATTTAAGTGACTTATATAGCTTCATGTTTTGGTATACATGTGATTAGTCATGTAAATGACCAATGACTAATGGGCAGATATAGAAGACAACGTCCTGTATCCAGGTTTAGATGGGTACACCTTTGCTTTGTCCATGCATGTCATTGCAGCAGGTTTACACTGATGCCGATCCCTGCAGCAGCTAATATGCATCTTCCTTGTGCACTCCTACCACTCCGTTTACATGCGGAAATGAGGAGTAAATGCCATATTTATGTTCCCAAGCAACCCTTGTCACAGCGGCGGACCAGGATGGGTGTTAACCAGTGCAGCCGCTGTGCATGTGCTATCATGTCTATGGTGTGATGTCATCGCGAATGCGTGGTGATGTACTTCATTGCCAGGGGCCATCTTGATGATGGACGCCGGCAAAAGACAGGAGGGGATCAGGTAAGCCACCGAATCATGCCCCCCACTCGTGTCACTGTCGGGCTCAGTCCATGACCGAGTGCCTGACTTAGGGGGTCAGTCATTTTGGTGTCACTCCTCTTGTGCCTAGGCACAGCTTACACAGGGTTGGGGAATCTCTCCACACTCCTATGTGACAGCACTGGGTCCCTAAGCAGCCAATTGCCAAGCGCCAGCTCTGTTACCTGGGAGGTGAGTGAGTCACATGCTCCTCATACTCAGAAGTATGGGGTATTTATCTTCCCTTCCAGCAACCGAATGACATTTAATCTGCTTATATTTTACCTTCCCTGGTTCCACCTTCACACTCATTTATATGCTAATAAAATGATTAGATAAAACCTTTCCATTTTCATGACACCACTTATTTTAGACCCAGCAATGTCATCACTAGGTCCCTGTGCTTTTCTATAGAATGCAGGCAGACCCTAGCTGGTGAGAGGGGCTGACAGGGTGCTTTACATAGCCAGTGGCATCACAAGGGGGGTGCAGCACGCACCCGGGTGACACCATTTAATGACGCCTCGGCGGGGTGACACTCGGTTACCGCTCCAGGTGTCACCCAGCCTCGGGATGCCCCTGACATAGCCCTCTGAAAACATCACAGCACCCCGACTCAGTACCCCTCTTAAGAGCCATTAGCCCTGACACCAGCAGTGGGCTGGCTCGGAGGAGGAGGCGTTATGCAAACATCAAATGCCTTGATTGGTGGATGTCAGTCTGGAGGAATAGGCAACCATAAGCAGGCTGCATTAGGCAACACCCACAAGTGATGCTGAGCCTCCAAAAACTGAAATCCAATGAATGAAAGTGGCGGGCCAGGGACGGTCAAGCTCTGAAGGAAAGATCTAGATCCTTGGTTCTCAAATGGTGGGCCATGACCCAAAAGTGGGTCGCGACCCCGTGTTCAGTGGGTCGCCGCGTGCTTTCCACTTTTCTAGGTGAGAGGCTTCTCAGGCTCCCCCCAGTGCAGCAATGTCAGTTCTTGTGCCAAGCAGCTATTCATATTCTGATTGACGTTGAGTGTCAGCATAAAGCAGGGTGGGCTGGAGCTATGGTGAGGGAGCTCCATCTGTACATGAATTGCTTACAGCTTCCGTACATGTCCTGTAGAGATGCCTGGACCGGAGTGACGTCACATTCTGGCTCCCGCCATCTCTACAGGGTGCACAAGGGAGTTGTACAAGCAATGCAAATACGGATGGAGCTCCGTCACAGCACATCAGCTCACACTGGATCCCAGGCTGAGGATCTGGAATGCGCGGTACTGCCATGTCGTGCGCTCCATTGCAGTGCGACTTGGGTCACGACATAATGACCAAGGACAAATGTGGGTCCTGAGGTTACACAGGTTGAGAATCACTGGTCTAAATGATGCTGAATGTCCACCATCCAGGAGATAAGGCTACCGGACTTGTTGCAGCTTGGGGAGATTTGCCTTCACTGTATTTTCCACAGACAAAATAGGAAGTGAGAGGAAGTTTCTTCAAAAGGGGAATTGAACTGGTGTCCCCACTTCAAAAAAGAGGGTAAATCTTCACAATGATAACAGAAACCTGACCGGGGTTCTAACCCTTCCATTCACTATCCAAAATTAAATTTAAAAAAAGTTTGGGCTTTAATAAAATGTACAAGCACATAAATAGTAGGGAAAGGCAAAAGGCCACTGACAGCACACATTTGTGAAGCCATAGGACAGACATAACAAGCTGCAGGTGGCTCTGAAATCCTCAGATCCCTCCTATGCTCAATGATTTGAAATTCAGCGACATGTAAACATCACACAGTCTCCTGCTGCAACACCGTACAGCTCCTCATCGGTGATGATCATCATCATGACTACCACAGACATGGAGACGTACATTGTTGTCTAGTAAGCATTACAGGTATAACAAGCCCCCCCAGTGGTCTCCTAATTAATTCCGCCCCATATCACGGGCCACTTACCACCTGCCCTATGACAGCCCACTCTTCAGGCACATCTTCTCAAACAGCACTCCTATTGGTGGAATACGGAAAATCAACCAATAGCGGTTCTCCTTACTGGATATTACCACTGGCAAGATAGCGCAGCCTTCCCGGTCTAATCCCTTACTTCCGCCCATACTGCGTGACCGTCTCCCTCAAGGAATTAACAGTTGCTAGGAGACGAAGGCGCTTTCAAAGCTGATAGGCGGGGGAGTTTGGACAGTAGCCAATCAGAGGCTAGCATTACAAAAGCTCTTGGGTGTGACATGTAGGGGGGTCAGGGAGCAGTGACTGGATTTCTGTGTTATATAATAAAGCAGATTACAATGTAGCTGTGGTGAATATTAGAGAAATATAATACAGTTTATATTAAATATGGCGGGTTGATGACCATAAAAACCCTACTTCAGACAAAACCTTTTATATGTGAGGACAGAATGGAACTCCTGTCAGGTTTCTACTTGTGGCCTGTGCCCTCTCTGAGGAGATTTCATGACAGAAAGTGTTGGGAAATCTCTCCTTTGGGGTCACAGAAACAAAAGTGGGGAAGATTTGGAACCTCTGTCTTGAGCTCTGTGTTTTCCTATAGCAGTGACAACCACTCCCATCATTTCTGGTCCTGTTGTCACTGGGACAGTAAGGTCAAGACTCCCCAACATGGCCATGGACAACAAATTTGTCGAAGCATTTACTCTTACCAAGCCTGTCCAAAACTAAAGACTAAAGTATTGGCTGGAGTTGAGGTTTAGAGCTTAACACCAAATATTTGGTTTTGGGTGAAGTGGGGAGTTCTTAGAATGCGCATAAGACCCCATTTACACCAGGGCGACAGCATTTCAGCGTTTTTTTCACGCGTTTTTTTACAACCCGTTTTTGAGCGATTTTTATGCATTTTTTAGCGCGTTTTACAGGCGTTTTCTGTTCATATGTAACAGCGTTTTAACCCCTTCACGAGCCCATGACAGGATAATTCCATCCTGGGTCTTTAAGGGGTTAAACAGAAAAGCAGATCGGACTCTGTTCATATTTGTAGAGCCGGTGGCCGGCTTTACGGTAAAAGCAATTCTGGTGTCGCCAGATCGCTTGTACGGGCCAGTAAAGTGCCCCCCACCCTGTGTTCCACGCTCCGCTGCCCCTCCTGCGCGGGCCCAGGACTGAAATCTCGGCTGTCAGCAGGAAGCTGGGGAAGAGAGCGGCGATCATCTGTTTACTGAACTCCTCCCCGTTCTATGGGACCGGGAGCGACAATGATTGCATCACTTCCGGTCCCTGAGCTGTCATTGCTGGGCTCCTGAAGCCCAGTAATAAGCTATTGAAGTGCGATCTGCACTTCAATAGCTTATTTAGAGTGTAAATGTGACACTAGGGGTCTTTTGGACCCCCATTATCACCTTAATGAGGACCTGTCACCGCCACTATGATATCACATAGGGGGCTTATAAGCCTTTAGCAATTAAAGTAAATGCTTAAAAAAAAAAAGGTTTTAAAAATAATATTAAATAAAATAAATGTAAAAATAATAATAAAAAATGTTCTAAAGTCTCCCACCCCAGCGAGCACATGCGTCTTCATGTAAACACGCGTCGGGTGCGCCTACATACAAAAACGATTGCGCTACACATATACGCCAGAGTGAGAGCAATAATTCTAGGGCCAATATTTACGTGTATCTCTAACTGATGACCTGTAGGGGCTTTTAAAGCGTCGACTATGGACTTTATGGGGTACTGGATTTTGTTGCAGATTCACGGACGCACACACAATTTTTAACCTGGGCTATCGTTGTTTACTTGTTGCAACCTCATCTTTTATATTTTACCACAAAAAGGGATTTATATAGTTTTTTTAAGTTAAATTTAACTTAAGTGCATTTTTTACTACGTTTTTGGGTTTGATAATAAGCTTCGCTAATGTCGTGCAACATAAAAATTTACAACTGCCGAAATGTTATTTTACAGGGACTTCACTTTCAGAAAATATATAATGTTTGCAGACATCCCAACCTGCAAAACCTTATTTCAGGGAGGTTCCCGTCTCATTTCAGGGAGGTGCCCTTTCTGTTTTTTGGGGGTTTTTTTTACAGCATCCGTCGTCAGAATATAAAGGAAATAATAATGATAATATATATATATATATACACATACACACATACATACATACACACAGAGTAAAATAAAATCCATATAAGGCCCCATTTACACTGAGCGACATGAAAACCGCGCATTTTTATATGAGCGATATTGAGTGACTTGTCGCGCGACATCGTGCAACTTTTTCCTATTGGGCTGTATGCATTGGGCTGGAGCAAAATCGCTCGAAATCGCTTGAAAAAAGGGTCATGTAGGAGCGACAAGCTACAAGCGATATTGAGAATTGATGTTCAAGTATCTGTCAGTGTAAAGGTCACAATGTATTAGATGTTTTGAGGCTACTCTAAAGATCACATGACCTTCCTCTAGGAGGCAAGCCTCGTTCTGAGGCTACTCTAGAGATCACATGACCTTCCTCCAGGAGGCAAGCCTCACTCTGAAACTTTACCCCCTGATATCTTACCGGAAAGGTTTACTCAGAGTAAACCTTTTCAGGGAGAAAATGCCTCTCTCACGGACATCAGGGAGCTGCTGTCCAAAAGAGGGAGACTCCCTGAACATCAGGGAGACTTGAGATCCCTGTGTTTGGGGTAATTAAAGTAATTTTTAGGCCTAAAATGTGGATTATAAAACGTAAGCAAAAAAGGAAAAAAAAGGCCTTGGTCCTTAAGGGGCTAAAAGGGGGGAAAAAACGCGAGACGAGGCGCTCTGGTGTGAACGGGGCCCCAGTCTGCAACTCCATCAGCGCCACCCAATATTTAGCCCTCTGAGGTGACAAGAAATGGGGCAATAGGCCGGGAAGGCCCAGGAAGAAATAAATAAACCCTCAGAGAGATTCCAACTTCTCCCAACGCTACAACAAATGGAAGTCTTTCCATCTCTCTGTCCCCAGCAAGGAGATTTCCCATCGCTTGCTCTACCTCCAATCCCCTGTCACAGGGACACGAAGTGAGCTGAAATTAAAGTAAATGTGAATATAGTATATTATGTGAGCACAGTATGTAGCGCACATAGTAATACAGTGAAAACTATTTTTATGCCATAATGGCATTTATTTTTTTATATATAATTTTTTGGTACCTTCTTATGTATTTTTATTTTGCAGTCACGTGACCACAAAGTGTTTTTATGCCCTTTCTTCCTCATAGCAGGGGCATCTAACATCAAAAAGAGTGCTTTTTTTCTCACATATAGCAGGGAAGTACGTTCCCCCGCCATGTGCGATGCGTGCCAGGCGGCCGGCACTGCATTCTAGCGGAATTATTGGCCGTAAGTGGCTTTTGCTGCAGGTGACCATCTCTGTAATGAGAGTTGGTGGTATGTGGCAAGTATCGGTGAGTCTTGACTGATGCCATCCAAGACGCAGCGTACACAGTGGGGAAGGAACCTGCGTAGATCTGCGCCTGTGCTTGGTGAGGTCAGAATGATAATGAAAGAAGGTGAAGTGGCCATGCAAGGTTGACCGTACACAAAGTTCAATCACAAATCCATATATATAGGGAACCTGCAATTTAATGTTTTGGTGGACGAGCACACCAAATATTAGTTGGAAAATTGTATTTATTAGTCAAAAATATTATCCTCCACCACTTTGGTTAGCACTGTGCTGCCGAAGCGTTTAGTGAAGCTGCTGCAACGAACTGAAGTGCTGCATAATGGCTACTCAGCACTTGGCTAAGGAACTGAACACACCTCAAAGGTAGCCAAATGTTGGCCTTCCAGTTGTGGTGAAACCACAAGTCCCATCATGCCTCTGCCTCTGAGAGCCATGTCTGTGGTTGTCAGAGTCTTGCAATGCCTCATGGGATTTGTAGTTTTACCACAGCTGGAGTGCCAAAGTTTGTCTACACCTGCCCTAGAGCTAAATGTGATAGGGATTTATTATAAAAACTTAAGTGTTGGGATTTGGGAGACTGTAACTCTCTCATGGTTCATTGAAAATGGCCATTGTTACAGGCCTTGTTACAGTGTTTTCAATGAATGGGTTTTGAGGCCTACAATTGCATGAGGGAATCCTTGGCCCTTCAGTATCAGGATGGTGTTTACAGAGGGGTGTCATGACGCAGGCCAGGCCACAGGCCAGACTCTGGCTAGCGGGAGTAATCAAGTGCCTGGGTAGGGTGGGGACGGGGTGTTTGTTTGTCACCAAAACATTTGATCATAACAATAAAAATGGCAACATCAGCCTTTGAGTCTCCTGCTTCCTCTGTCTGTTGGTTTCCTGTGTAGTTGTGCTGCAATCTTGTGCTATGGCCACTACACCAATGTTTATGGCAGCAGCTGCAATTTCAATAGAAGAAAAGGCAGAGCGTAGACTCAGAGGATCTCTGACCAGGTGGATGAAGGCTTCTTCATCCAGCATTCTGCGGCCTTGTCTCCTCATCTCCTCTGCAGCCTGTGTACAACAGATGTTGAAGGTGAGGAGCCATGTTGTTATTGCAAAAAAAACCCCATCAAAAACACACTAAAAGCCCATGTACATGCTTTTTTATATGATTCTGTTGTCTATGGGGACAAAATGGTATTGAAAGAAGTGCAAGCAGCATTTTAAAAAACAGACAAAAGAAAACTGCATTGATGTGAACCGGCACCATAGGAAAAGATGGGATTTCTCTTGTCGTGCAATGTCACATGACACACAAAAGCATTAAGTGTGATCAATGCTGCATCTTCGTCAATACTTCTCTATGACATACGAAAGATCGCATGGATGTGTACAGGGACTCAGTCCTAGGAATGTACCCGAAATCAATAATAGTTTAGGTAAAATACCTGTAGA